ATCGACGTGGAAACTATTATGTTTTTTCTTTTAGTATATATTGATGAAATTGTAATCATCGTTAATGATATTCAATTCATCATATCAAACCGTTGATTTAGAGATAGAGGTGACGGAGGAAGAGTATCGGGAGTGGTATATTCCCAGAGCCTTGAGATCTTTCTTTTGCTATTCTCCAGCAGCTCTAGGAGTTCCCGTTCTCACTTTTCTTGATCTTCCAAGCTTGAAGCTCACCTGCTTTGAGAGAGAGGAGAGACCTCTCACCATCCCCATAGTATATGAGACAAATGTATGTATTTCGATTAGGGTTGTATTCTATGGTAACAATTCTACCATTTATGTATTTTTCATTTCGTCGAAAATAAATTTTACGGTATAGACGCTTATGACCTCCCCCTCTATGCCTTGCGGTAATGATTCCTCTGGTATTACAACCTTTACCACAATGATGTTGTCCATAGATCAAATTATTTCGTGGATTGGATTTCACTTGACTATCTATGGTTCCATTGCGTGTGCTTGGGGTAGAAGTTTTGTATAAATGTATCGCCATGCTACTAAGTATTTTGATTCAAGTTCTTTTCTTTATAAGAGATGGAATGGAATAACTGGGTTGAAGTGTAATGATCATACATCTGTAATGCATTGTATGTCCCATAATAGGCCCATTCTTCTACTCTTTCCCGGAAGTTGATGACTATTCATAGCTATTACCTTGACACCAAAGAAGATTTCGACCCAATGTTTTATTTCTATCCTAGTTGATCCTGATTCGACATTAGAAGTCTATTTATTTTTCCCCAATAGCCGAATACTTTTTTCTGTACATACTGCATATTTGATTCCATCTATAAATCTATATTCTTCCCTATGAGTGAAGTCTCAATAAGAATGCTAGTTCTTACTGATCATTATGATATGAATATACCCCATCAATTCGTTATGTATGGATGATGAGATTCCATTGATACAGAGCCAATTCCAATAGACTTATTGGAAGGTCCCATTGGTGTGCATCAAGTAGGAATTGAACCTACGAATATGCCAATTATGAGTTGGGCGCTTTAACCATTTAGCCATGGATGCAAAATCAGCGAGTGAAATAGGTTTTGGTATTTCTTCTCGAGCTTCTATTTCTTCCATTAAAAGAGATTCGAGAAAAGATGGAATAGGAAGACGTGTTTCCAGAACGAACAAGATACGGGTTGAGAAGGGGGAGTTAGCAAAGTTAGACAAGATTAGAATGGGCATAGGAACATGTATTGAGGTGCCAGATTGGCTAATGCTCCCATGTTGATGCAATGTGTTCCACCAATTGACTGAAGACTTGATTATTGGTATATCGATCAGTCCAGCATGGATTGAAATAGGAGTTGGTTCGACAAAAAACTTTTGAAAATGCAGTGCACCCAGGTAAATAAGGAACAAGATGAATACAGAGGTTAAACGAGCATCCCACACCCAAAAGGTGCCCCACATAGGTTTCCCCCAAACCCCCCAGTAACTAAGGTAAACAACATAGAAAAAGCATTTATTTCTGTACCGGTTCCGGAAAACCGAAGAAAAAGGGGATGTTTTGTTAATAGGAAGAAAATAAATGCTTCTATATGAACATTTCTAACAGTGGTTTCTTCTCCAACAGTCAAGTAACTAGCACTGGTTATTCCAGCAAGAGCTCTTACTCTAACAGAACTAGTACCGTCAACTCCAATTGTAGCAGCGGGAATGTCTTGACCACCAGATATTGCATTAAAATCTTCTATTGCATTAACGGTGGAAATGGAGAGCTGGCTCGGAATATAATAGCTTGAACCGCTTAGGCTCTTTGCACCTAAATAAATAGTAGACACGCAAAAAAATTAGACGTGAAACTTATAGAGTCGTAGCCTTCTAAGACTTTCTTCTCCAACTCACTCAATCGATAGGTTGAGGCAATCAACTGGAAATCAACCAAAAGGACCTGTCAAGCCTTAGAAGTCAAAGCATGCATCACATATCATCATGTATAGCTTATTAGTTGTAGTAGCTGCATAGGAAACATTAAGCATATAGTACTTTTCTCCCTTGTCATGCATCAAATGACTGTCTCTCCTCTCTCAAAGCAGGCGAGCTTCAAGCTTGGAAGATCAAGAAAAGTGAGAACGGGAACTCCTAGAGCTGTTGGAGAATAGCAAAAGAAAGATCTCAAGGCTCTGGGAATATACCACTTCGATACTCTTCCTCCGTCACCTCTATCTCCAAATCAACGGTTTGATATGATGAATGGTATATCATTACCAATGATTACAATTTCATCAATATATACTAAAATAAAAAATAGAATAGTTTCCACATCGACGAGTAAAAAGGGACTGCCTGGGATTGAAGAAAACCAGCATCCACATAAGCAAATTTGGCAAACCCATTTCGGGACGCTTGTTTAAGTCCATAAAGGGGATTGATTCAGGCGGCAAACTGAGTTATCCCCCTATGGATAATATACATGAGGGAGAGACATGCATACTTCCTTTGTTTGGAACATGTTAAGGCTTTACACTCTAACTCACCTTAACCGCCTGGAGAGTCATTTTTTCATTTTAAAGTGGAATGTTCATTATCATAATAAGTAGTCGATTAGGAGAACTACTATATCACTACAGAGTATACTCTTCCTCATCTTTCATTATTCATCTTTTATGTATGTCCTTGGACATAGATATTCTAGATACTCCGTTCTATTATGAATCGCCAAAGTCTTCATACTTCTCCATTGTTACAATCAGATCCGAAAAAGGAGAAATCAATCAAGATGGACCTGAATTGAATCATGACTATATAAGCTATTCTGATATTAAGAGATTTAATATAGATGAAATTTGTGGAAGCAGACATTTGATTTCCTTGGACCACGTAAGAATTCGTTGTCCGATTGAATCTGCTTTTTCCTAGATGCTCTATAGGAATCCACCACTATTCCTTTCCTCCACCGATAAAGGTTCATCCCGAGTCACAAGCGCAATCTTTTTTTCTCATTCTTTTTTCTTTTCGTTATGGTAATGCAATGCAAGAGGTCGGAAATCTGGTTGTTTTTTATGATGAAAAGAGCTTTTATCTTATGTGAAATTTATGAAAACCTAAAATGTCGGTAATGTTAGAAGATGACCTACGACATCTGATGGTCAGATGTCGTAGGTCGGTATATCTTTGAAAGCTCAGACGGTGAGAATAAACGGACTTCGATATTTGGCACCAAAGGAACGAAGGCAAAGATCAAAGGCTTTATTATTGAGAAAGTAAAAGGAGGTTATTCAGTAGCCATCGCAGGTTTCATTACTTTTCTTCCAGATGGAAAATGATATTGAATAATCAATTCACCGTTGAAAACATTAATCCCAAAAAGAAGAATATTGAGGTCTTCTAACACAAAAAAGAGAATATTCTGGTCTTTGAAGGAATGAAAAAAAGGAGAGACTGGTAGAGATCCTCTTTGTCAGCGACATTCTACCTTCTATCTATCAACCATTTCATTATGGAACTTTCTCCCGACAACAATCATTTTGAAAATAATGTGCAATTCATAGCCCTCGATGATCGGGCAAATGTGATAGAAAATTTCTGCGATCAAGTATCTAGAAACATGGATGCAACTGCTCTTCATTGCCACCAGCATGGAATGTCGGTAAGAGAGCTTGCTGAACATGTCTGGCATGTTAATGATCAAGAACTTGTGACTATTCCTTATGTCATCCATATCACAAATGAACTGGCCCGTGAGGACTTTCAAAGTGGATGTATATGGCAGGAATTTGTGGATGAGTTGGAATTGATTGTCCACAGTCCCCTTGATCAATTTGAAATAATTCCATTGATTCCTATGAAAATAGGAAACTTATATTTCTCATTCACAAATCCATCCTTGTTTATGCTACTAACTCTCAGTTTGGTCCTACTTTTGGTTTGTTTTGTTACTAAAAAAATGAAAAAGAAGAAAAAAAATGGCATGGTTTGGGAGCCAAGCCGAAGCCTCCACCGTAACTTTAACTGCAAAAAAATTTTTAGAAAGACCCCGATCCTTATTTTCATTTTTTCTTTACTCTTTCTCATTATCACAGTAGTTTTGATAAGAAGAAGAAGAAAAAACAGTCTGATTCTATTTTTCATTTTTTGTTTCCTCCTTTCCCTTTTTAGTTGCCTTGTGAGATTCTTCATTATGGACTTTTTTTTGGCTTTTGTAGCACTCCCTAGAAGTTTGTCCGGTAGGAAAGCCAGAACTCTTGTAAGCCAGCTTGATAAAGGTAGTGGTAGGATGTCCGTACCACTGAAAGTGCGATAGTCCTTCAAGCAGGACTTGGGCAACAAAGTCTTACTCGTATTCCACCAACACTCGCGTATCGTATAGAGTTCTATCCTTCGCTAGACTTGCTTCGCACTGTGTCAAAAGCCAGTTGAGTTTTACTCTTCAGTAAGAATGATAAAGCATTTCGCAAGATTGATCCTATAAAGTCCGTCCCAACATTTAGCCTGAAAGAAAAAAGTGGGTAGAAGTTAAGTTTCTATCTCCTACGCTGCGCTCTCAACTGGATCAATCGCTTTGTCCTGATTTATTAAAGTGGTGCCCTGTAGAACATGTTTTATGGAATTGAACTCTGTATTCCATATTCTTTTCTTACTGATTAAATGAAGGTAGAAAGAGGAATATTCTATCAAACCCTTAGTCCGATAAGGGAATAGTATACATTCAATCCGGATAAGACACTGAGATGAAGACGAATCAAGCAAGAAAGGCAGAAAGGGCTGCTTTCTCGAGTGAGAGTTTTTTTTGGGTTAGTCTGATTATCCTCATTCAAGTTTTTAGGCGTGCGAGTAAGAGGGTAGTAGGCGAAATTTTATGAATTGAATGGGACTTCAGCTTCGACAATCGTATCCTCCTCCAGCAAATAAGGTGGAGTGGGCAAGGCAGAGAAGACAGGAAAACAAAAGCTCAAACTTCAACATTCTATTACCTGCTCATACGGGCTTTTTTTTAACAAGATTTGGATCAACGGGGTAAAGATTCCCGTGTTTACCAAGATTTTTTTAAATTATTTTCTCAATTCTGATTGATTGCCTTTTTTGATCCCATGCTTTCCGTCGGTCAACAACCAACTAAATCTATACTTCTTCACTACTCGTAAAGGCTTGACGGAGTGAAGCTGTATTGAGGTAATCATTTTGTCTCAATCAATCAAGAATGCCTCAACTGGATAAATTCACTTATTTCACACAATTCTTCTGGTCATGCCTTTTCCACTTTACTTTCTATATTCCTATATGCAATGATGGAGATGGAGTACTTGGGATCAGCAGAATTCTAAAACTATAGAACCAACTGGTTTCACACCGGGAGAACAAGATCTGGAGCAACGACCCCAATAGTTTAGAAGATATCTTGAGAAAAGGTTTTAGCATCGGTGTATCATATATGTACTCAAGTTTATTCGAAGTATTCCAATGGTGTAACACCGTCGACTTCTTGGGAAAAAGAAGGAAGATGACTTTAATCTCCTGTTTCGGAGAAATAAGTGGCTCATAAGGAATGGAAAGAAACATATTCTATTTGATCTCTAAGTCCGTACATAGCAATCCTGTGGGTCATCACTTGTAGGAATGACATAATGCTAATCCATGTTCCACACGGCCAAGAAAGCATCAGTTTTTAATCTCATTATGACTTGGTCGTTCGAAAGAGCAATTAATTCGATCAGAATGGTGGAATGGAAGGCAGTAAAAGAATGAAATACCATTTCCCCGGCCTCCACGACCTTGATGATTTCCTCCTCATATGCCCAGGTTCTCCACAATTGTAACACACTTAATAACTTAACCAAGTAAGCATTGTTGCTATTGTAGTAGTAGTATCATGACTCTCTTTGATATACAATCAATCCAGGAAATCATAGTATAGCTTCTAACCTCAATTGGCATAACTTAATTTCATCATTTGCTAAATAACCCATACATGTTATGATAACAATACTAAATGCATTTTCCAAAGTAATGGTGTTCATTATTTGGCCATCCCTTACCAAAACTTCTTGAATGTTGTCGCTAATAAACTTGAATTTGCAAATCTGGCTTTAAACCCTTCACAAACGATGATAGTAGCTAGCGAGCCCCACAAAACTCTTAATTTCAGTCACAGGACTAGGTCGGACCCAATTCCTGACTGCTTCAATCCTTTGGTGATCTACCATTACCCCTTCCCTTGAAACTGCATGCCCCAAAACGGCAACCGAAGTCAACCAAAATTCACACTTAGAAAATTTTGCATACAACTTTTGTTTCCCAAGAACACCCAGAATAATACGAGGATGGTCGGCAAGCTCTTCCTCTCTTTTCAAATAAACCAAATGTCATCAATAAACACTATAACAAACAAATCAAGAAATGGTTTGAACACATCATTCATCAAACTCACGAAAGTTGCAGGCGTATTTGTCAACCCAAAATACATAACTAGAAACTCATAGTGCCCATAGTGGGTTTTTTTGGTATATCTTCAGGCCTAATCTTTAACTGATGATAGCCAGACCTTAGATCAATCTTAGAGAAAATGGATACACCCTGCAATTGGTCAAAAAATCATCTATCTGAGGCAGTGGATACTTGTTCCGAATGATGACCCTATTCAATTATCGGTAGTCTATACACATCCTCTTTTGCTAGTGATGGTGTTACCACTTTTGTTGCTCTAGTTCGGACCATGGAGTGAAGGAGGAAAGATACCAATTTGTATCACCCAGATACCAATTAGATTCAAATCATAACATGAAGGAGTAAAAAGAAGTGAGTTTTTCCAAAAGTCATATAGCCTCTCGAAGAAAAGTATGGACGTCTTTGTACCATTCCGCAAGACTCTACTAGACTCGTTTTGGTACAATGAGATCAACGAACCTAAGGCTCCGATATCAACTTTGTCACGACCCAGACCGTCGTAATTGGCACCCACATTAACCCTACGGTAGGAGAACCATTACTACAACCCAAACTAACAACTTGACCAAATACTACATATTTAAGTATACGGGAGCAGGTTTGAATTATCAAAAGAAATACGGAGTTCCGATAAACTCCAAAGGTTTAAACAAATAACTTAACCAAACTAATGCGGAAGAACAACCTCTAGAACCTGAAAGTCAATGTACCAAAACTCTACTAACGACAAGTCTAAGAACAAAGGGTACAACCCCGAAACTAAACAACTACTAAAACAATGTCTAAGTCCGAAAAGAGTGGACTAAAAAAAATACGAAGGATTTATGGCAGCTTGAAAGAACTGGCTCACCCTTGAATCCGATCTCGATCAATAGTCACCTAGCTGAGTTCTATCAATAGCCGCCTGAAAATGCCCTGTACTCATCAAAGAACAAGCAAGTGCAGTATCAGTACACAACCGCAGTACACTGGTAGGGTCACGTGACTATCCTTATAAGTGAAACACATGAAAGTAACCATAACATTATAAAACAGGCATATACCGAACATACACAATATTAGTCATCTTTTCAGGATCAATGTAGCATTCTACATTCTCAATAATACACATGGTTATCATTTTAGAGCAACATACAGTCTTCCAATATCAATCATCATTAGATATGAATGTAATCATCACAAGTAGATAAACAACACAATTCAATGGTCTTCTCACGTAACCCAATTCAATGGTCCTGTCATGGAACCCATACCCAAATTGTTAGTGTACCGATAGGTGGTACTCGATCCAAGTTAGTGTGTCGAATCGTGACACCCGTTCCAATGTTTATGCTGGTACGTGGCAACTTATCCCAGTTAGTGTGTTAGAACGTAACACTCGATCCATTCAACAATCCACAATCACAATCACAAGTACATTCTCATAATCATACAATTAAGTCATGATTCATGGCATTCAATTATTCAATTATCCTCATTCACGATTAGTGTGATCAATAATGCAACATTCACATACATACATGCATTATAATGAAGCAAGTACAAACATATATCACACGACATGAAATCACAATCACCACCTACCTCGAATCCAAGCTTGAATCCCCTAAGGCACTTGAATCTTCTCTTTTTGGATTCTTCCCGCTTGTTCGTGGTTTAAAAATATACAATTAAAGCAAGGATCAACAAACGAGGCCTAATTACTCGGATTATAATTAATAATATCAATCCTAGGTCAAACCCTTGATCCCCATACCCAGATTAGGGCTTTTTCCACCATAATTGTCCGATCAAAACCATCCCCCATCGATAATTACCCATGAATTTACATTCTACGGATCGAAACATGGATTCGGGGAGTAAAAACCTTACCTTTAGCCTCAAGAATGGTGAAAAACTATCAAGAACACACCTGGAGTCGTTCCTTAGCTCTCAAGGTCGAAAAGTACAGAATAAAATGTTTTTGGGGTTTATTTCTGACTTAAATCGCGATTGTCCCGCTATGGCGGCCCCCAGCCCGCCACAGTGGCTTGCACGAAAACAGTGAGTCGAATTAAGAGTTTCAAACCCCCATTTCACAACACGCCTTCATCCCATGACACTCAGAACATACCCGTTCATATTAAGATCAGTTTTGGGAGTTCTACTCGCCCGCATTCAATCCCATAAAGTTGTACGGGTTCCTTAACGTCTTAGCTATCTACTCATGTGATCAAAATCATAATTAGATCATCCAATTGTTACCAGATTTTCCTAGACTCGCCTGACTCCGATTTTATCCAAATCTAAACTAGGTTGGGAAATTCCAAGTTACTACGAAAAAGTTTCAATTCTTTCGCCATTGGTTTTTCCCTAACGACGGAATCAGGTCGTTACACCACTCCACCTAACCTTTTGTTTCCAATTTTTTTCTCGTTTTGTGTTAGATATATACATATCAAAAATATGTTTTACTTCCCGCCGCAAGATTTTTTTTTAAAATAAAATTTTTATTTATGGTATATTTTGTACATAAGTAGAAAATTCTAAAAATAAATGTACATATCTAACACAAAATGAGAAAAATATAAAAATAATAATAAATATATTAGGAGCGGAGGGTTAAATAGGATGAGATTGAATTTTTATTTTTTTAAAAATAAAATAATATCAAATTTTTGGGGGGAATGAGTGGGTGTTTGGGGCCGGGAGGGGGGGTGAGGGTGGGGGAGTGGGTAAGAAAATAATTTAAATTTTATTTTTGAAAATAATTTTTAAAGGTATATATGTGTCCACGTGGACATCATAAATATTACATCATTATAAATAGTAACGTGTCCACGTGGACACATATATACCTTTAAAATACGCTATTAAATAGTGCAGGGGGGTAAAAGGCCCTTTCCAATGTTCGGTATCGTTACAACAATTTCGGTCAAAGTTTGGATATATTTTGAACTCTTTTCCCTTTTTATTATTGCAAGTCTGTATTTTTGTTTAGATGCAAATTAGTTATTGTAATTTTGTGTGTAATATACTAACTACTAACTAAGGTTCAACAATATTATTGTACAAAAAACTATTTATATTTTGTTTAAAAATTCCTCTATTTTGTCCATATAAAATCATAATTTTTATTTCATGAAACTCCTACTCAAGATAATCCTTTTTATTTCATATTTGAAGTCATGTTTTCCATGTTTTGTTGTTGTAGTAAAGTATGACTCAATAAAAAGGACTCTTGGATGTTGATCAGTTAGTCAAAGGGAGTGTTGATAAGAGTTCAAAAATTGTACATTGATTCAATAATAATTTTTCATCTATTTTCTTATGATTAAGATCCTAATAAAGGTATGTGCATTGTGTTCTTTCTATGTAGTTTCTTAAAATTGGAAGGTAAGTGCATTTTGTTTGTACCTTCATTAGACGGAAATTGATTATTGTAACTTTCTCTGTAATATGCTAATTGCTATCAAGGTACAAATACTATTATTGATAGATTAGAAAAATTGAATATATATCAAGTATATACAACCTTTTTTTTTTTTTATCAATACAACCTTATTATGATATTTTTTTAAAATACAAAGAACCACTTGTGTTTTATTTATAAATTTGTTCTTTTCTTTTATTTTTTTAAAAATAGTAAAAGTTTTAGTAATACTAGATATGTATTGTGTATTGATTTTATATTTCTTTTTCATCTATTTTCTTATGATTAAGGTCCTAAGGAAGATGTGTTTTTGTTAATATCAAACATTACTAGTAAGTAGGATATAGGAATGAAAAGAGAAAAAGAGGAAAAAAATAATTAATAAAAACAAATAGTAAAATAAAGGATAGAGGCAAAATTAAAAATATGAATATTACTTAGATAATGATGAATAAGCGGAAAAACAACAATAATGAGTGAATAAAATAGACACCTCTCTTTGACTACAAATACTATTTATTTATTTTCAGTATAATTATTTATTATTATTATTATTATTATTATTATTATTATTATTATTATTATAAAAAGAATTGTGTTAATTACTATCCCTGCATTCATTTCTATTCTTCATTGTAGAATTCATTTCTATTCTTTATTGTAAAAAACTAGGATATGTGAGATATAATATTTAATATGTCATTTGGTTAGTTTACTCAATCTAAATGTCTCAAAATTTACTATTTCATTATTCTTTTTTTTAAAAAAGTAAAATTAAAAGTCTAAAATATTTACTACTTTGACCTTTCATTTTCTCCATGAAAAATAAAAATATCTTAAAATAATTCACAGTAATGATATTGTTTCGATATTCATATTGTAGTCCTA